CTTTGTTCTTTGTTCTTTGTTCTTTGTTCTTTGTTCTTTGTTCTTTGACACGGGGAGAATGTGCAAACTCCACACTGACAGTCACCCAAGGATGGAACCACACCTGGGTGCCTGGTACAGTAAGGCATGTAAGAATCTCCTTACGTTTCCCAGAGTCCTCAACTGTTCCTCATATGACAAACCCTTCATCCCCTAGATCATTCTTGTAACTCTCTGGATCCCCTCCAACACCAGTACATCCTTCCTTAGATATGGTGCCCAAAACTGCTCTCAGTATTCCCAATGTGGTCTGACAGCTTCGGTGGTATCCCGTTCTCTTGTATTCTAGACCTCTTGAAATGAATACTAACATTTCATTTGCTTCCTACCTGCCGTCTGAACCTGCATGTTAACCATTAGAGAATCCTGAACTAGGACTCCCAAGTTCTTTTGCGCTTCAGGTTTCCAAAACCTTTCCCCATTTGGAAAATAGTCTGTGCCTCTATTTCTACCAAAGTGCATAAGATCACATTTTCCCACATTGTATTCCATTTACCACTTCTTTCCCCACTCTACTAGCCTGTTCATGTCCTTCTGCAGCCTCCCAGCTTCTTCAATACTATTTGTCCCTCCACCTTTCTTTGTGTCATTTGCAAACTTAGCAACAATGCCCTCAGTTCCTTCGTCTAGATTGTTAATGTATAGCTTGAATATTTGTGATCCTACCATGCACTCCTACGGAACGCCACTAGTCACCAGCTGCCATCCTGAATAAGTCCCCCTTTATCCCCACTCTCTGCCTCTGCCAGTCAGCCAATGCTCTATCCATGCCAGTATCTTTCCCCTATCACCATGGGCTCTTATTTTGCAGCCTCCTGTCTAGCACCTTTTCAAAGGTCTTCTGGAAAACCAAATAGATCACCTCCACTGGTTCTCCTTTAACTTGCTTGTTAGCTCCTCAAAGAATTCTAACAGATTTGTCAGGCATGACATCCCCTTGATGAAGCTGTGCTGACTGAGCCCTATTTTAGCATGCACTTCCAAGTCCACAGCAATCTCATCCTTGATAATGGGTCTTAAAAATGTATCAATGACTGAGGTCAGGTTAATTGACCTACATTTTCCTGTCTTCTACGTCCCTCCCTCCTTAAACAGGGGTATTACATTAGCCTTTTCCAGTCCTCTGGGACTCTGCCTGACTCCAATGATTCCTGAAAGACCACCAGCAATGCCTCTACAATCTCCTCATCTATCTCCTTCGGAACTCTGGTGTGTAGTTCATCTTGTCTGGGTGATTTATCGACCACAGACTTTTCAGCTTCCCCAGCACCTTCTCCTGAGTGATGGCCATTGCACTCCCCCCACCCCAAACTCTCGAAGTACTGATGTGTTACTGGTGTCTTCCACCATGAAGACTGATGCAAAGTACCCATCCAGTTAGAATCACAGAATGCCAACAATGCAGAAGGATGCTATTCAGCCCATCGAGTCGCACCAATCTGTCAAATCCTCCCAACCAGACCCAGCACCCTACCGTATCCCCATAACCCCATGTGGTTAATCCACTTAGCATGCACAACCCTGAACACTAGGGACTATTTTTTAGCATGGCCAATCCACCTAATCTGCACAACTTTGGACTGAGAGGGGCAACTGGAGGGCCCTGAGGTAACCCACGCAGACACGGGGAGAATGTGCAAACTCCACACAGACAGTCACCCGAGCCTGGAATCGAACTCTGGTCCCTGGCGCTGTGAGGGAGCAGTGCTAACCACTGAGCTATGTGCCAGTTCCTTCAACTTTTCCTTATACAGTTATTGAGTTATATAGCACAGAAACAGACCCTTCAGTTCCCAACTAAAGTAGTCCCACCTGCTTGTGCTTGGTCCATATCCCTTCAAACATTTCCTATTCATCTACTTATCTAAATGTCTTTTAAACTTTGTAACTCTACGCACATCCACCATAACCACTGGAAGTTCATTCTCCACATGAACCATTCTGTATTTATAAAAAAGTTGCCCCTCATGTCTCTTTAAATCTTTCACCTCTCACCTCAAAAATATGTCCCCTAGTCTTGAAATCCCCTACCCGAGGGAAAAGGCACCTGTCAATAACCTTATCTGCACCCGTCATGATTTTATAAACCTCCTATAAGGTCACCCCTTAACCTCCTATGCTCCAGTGAAAGAAGTCCCAGCCTATCCAGCCCCTCTTTATAACTCAAACCCTCCGTTTCTGGCAACATCCTGGTAAATCTTTTGAGCCCTCTCCTGTTTATTAATATACTTCCTATAAGAGGAATTCCCTGTTACTGCTTCTCTAGCCTCATCGTCCAGTAGTCCAACATCCACTTTTGACTCTTTTAGATATCTAAATAAGTTCTTGCCATTTTCTTCTATATTACTAATTAGCCTACTCTCCTATTTCATCTTGTACCCCTCCTTGTTGCTTCTTTGGTTGTCCTCTGCTGATTTTAAAGGCTTCCCAATCCTCTGGCTTCCCACTGATCTTCACCACATTGTATGCTTTCTTTTTTGCTTTTATGCTGTCCCTGACTTCCTTTATCAGTCATGATGGCCTTATCCTCCCCTCAATATGTTTCTTCTTCCTTGGGATGAATGTTTGCTGTGCCCCCTGAATTACCCCCAGAAACTCCTACCATTGCTACTCCACTGTCTTCCCTACAGTAATTATAACCTTTTTGAGGTTCTTCTTGATTTGGTGCCTAGGTCCGCGTATTGGCTATGCGTAGCCTCTATCCTTGCCCTGCCTATATTGTTTTATTTACATGGACCCACATCCTATTCCTCCCCAGGTCTGAAGAAACGTCCAAAACAAGCAACCCATCCTGTGGATGCACTTTCTTTGCTGCTGTCGGTCGATCCCCTTCACTCTGCTGTCCCTGACTGTCACTGCATTCTCTCCCCACCATGGACTCTGTTCACATGCAGCTCGCTTCCCCCACCCTGACACACTGCAGTGTCTGCAGCTTGGCCTCCATCTCCAAACACTGAACTGAAACTCCTCGAGCCATAAACACAGCAGAGGTGTTTGCCCGGGATTATACTGGCATCCAGGAGCTTTCATGTGCATCAGCTGTTGATGTACGTCCTGTGTCCAACCATTGAGTCATACAGCATGGAAACAGGCCCTTTGGTCCAATCAGTCCGTGTCGACCGTAACCCCAAACTAAACTAGTCCCACATGTCTGCTCCTGACCCGTATCCTTCCACAAACCTTTCCTATTCATGTACTTATCCAAATGTCTTTTAAATGTTATAATTGTACCCACATCCACCACTTCTTCAGGAAGTTCATTCCAAATGCAAACCACCCTCGGTGTTTAAGAAAAAAAAAATTGTCCATCATATCTTTCATTAACTACTTAACTTCTTTTGCTCAATTAAATATATATTTTAACCTTACCATCAATACCTATAGTATTTTAATTCTTAGGAAAGGATGTATCTTTAAATACCTACCAGCTTCTTCCCCTGTTGTGGGGTAAACGCTAAATTTTGGACAGTGACAAAAGTTAGAAAAAGCATAAACAAGGGGGCACCTCCTTCCCCAAATCCCCTACTCCCTAAACTCCTAGCGCTCCATTCAAAGCCACAATCAACTGCTCCTTCAGTGGAGACCTCGTAAAATCCTCTCCCGCATTAGGAGATGGAGAATTGAAACGGCAGATTTCAGTTCAATATTAACACTTTCTCTCTCTCTAAGGATCTGCTGAGTATTTCCATAACTTTGTTTTTTACTATGTTTAGTGAGGTCTGGGACTAAATAATTAAACTTTGTTCTTTAATTTTTTCAGACTGTGGTCTGATCTCCAGAAGTTCTGCTGTTCTGAAGGAAAATGCAACTTCCATGACAATAAAGACAAGGACTGTCAGTTGAGGGTGAGTAGTGTTTTGCATGTTCACCCGGTCACAATAGATTATTTCAGCATCTGGGCTTCCCTCTGCTCCTTGAGTTTTAAAGAATCATAACACCAGAAACATGAGAAGGAAGTGGAGTTCATTGATGCATTCAAGGTTGTTCCAGTGATCAGTAAGATTACAGCTGATCTTTACATTAGCTTCATCACCTTGCCATGTCCACCCTCTCTTACAGACAAAATAAAACTTATCAATCTCAGTCTTGAACAAATACAATGACTGAACAATCTTCTTTGGTAGAGAGTTACAAACATCTATAACTTCCTGAAGAAATTTCTCCTCCCTAAGGGCATTGTAGGTCTACCTACAGCACATAGACTTCAGTGGTTCAAGGAGGCAGCTCTCCATCACGTTCTCAAGGGTGACTAGGGTCGGGTAATAAATCCAGCCAACAACATCTTGCAAACAAAACAAAACCTCTGGAATCAAGAAAAGTGAGATGTTTTCATTAGGGAGGGAATTCTAGGCTTTTGACTTAGCCACCCTGGAGGAATGGTGATACATTTCCAAATAGGATGGTGAGTGGCTTGGAGAAGAACTTGCAGGTAGGGGTGTTCCCCATATAGCTGCTGAGCTTGTACTTCTAGATGGAAGCGCTTGTGGATCTGGAAGGTGCTGTCTAAGGAGTTTTGATGAGTTTCTGCAGTGCACCTTGTAGATAGTACACACTGCTCCTGACCATCGATGGGGGAGGGAGTGGATGCTTGTGGATATGGTGCCAGTCAAGCAGGCTGCTTTGTCCTGGATGATGTCAAGCTTCCTGAGCGTTGTTGGAGCTGCACCCATCCAGGGCAGGTGGGGGAGTATTCCATCACATTCCTGACGTGTGTCTTGCAGATGGTGGACAGACTTTGGGAGTCAGGAGGTAAATTACTCACCATGGTATTCCTAACCTCTGACCTGCTCTCGTAGTTACTGTATTAATGTGGCAAGCGCTGTTCTGTTCCTGATATAGTTGAAGTTGCTATCTTCTCATGACACCACCTCCCACAGCGCTCCCCCCCTCAAAAAAAACAAGGAACATTATAATATTTCTTGATTTGTTCCTGTCAAATTAGGAAAGTTCACATTTTTACAGATCTGCCCAATCCCTTTAACCAATCTGTTTCTCTCTCCAGCTTCTTTGTGTCTTCCTCACAGGTTACATTATTTATTCTTTTGTGGGATTTGGGCATTGTTGGCAAGGCCAGCATTTGTTGACCATCCCTATTTACCCTTGAACTGAGTTGACATTTCAGAGGGTATATGAGTCAATCACATTCCTCAGTCTGGAGTGACATGTAGGCTGGACTGAGTAAAGACAACTGATTTCTTTTCATTAGTGAACTTGATTGGTTTTTGTGACAATCGATCAGGGATTTTAGCTATGAAGAAAAGTTGGATTGACTGGTTTGTTTTCACTGGAATGCAGGAGGTTGAGGCGTGACCTGATAGAAGTTGATAAGATTGTGGATGGCATGGTTAGAGTGGAAAGTATGAGGCTTTTTCCCAGGGTGGAAGGGTCACTTACGAGGGGACACTGACACCCTGGGGAGTGGTGGTGGTGGTAAGTTTTTCACACAAAGGGTGGTAAGTGCCTGGAACCCTGGATCCAGTTGCTGGAGATTAGCAGGTATTTTGAAGTGGTAAACCAGAAAAGAAGCGAATATTGGAATGTAGTCTTACTGGCATGGGGTGGTTTTTTTTTTGTTTATGTTAACTGCAATGCAGTGATTTCTAAATTTCTTTTCAGGTTAAAGATGTGTCACGCATCGTGTGGTACTCTGGTCTGAACGTGTACAATTTGTATGCTGATTGTGTTGGAGGTGTGCCTGGTGAGATTCAGTAAGTAATACGTGGTGAGAGTTAGGACTCAAGCAGGGTGTTACCAGCCGAAAGATTTGGCTATGGCTGATGGTTGGGGGTGGGAGAGGGAAGGTGACTTTAATAGAACGTTCAATCAGGGTGTAGGTAAGATCAGAGAATGTTTGAGCCATGCCTCTATCAGCCTGCAAACTGACACCTTGTGGGAAGACCTTTCTTCTCCTTGACCTTCCCACCTTCAAAACCCTGACTCTTCATTGGAACTGTAGAAAAGATCGATAGAGGTGACCCGCTGTAATGAGTGTTTTCAGTGTTTTGTGTTGTGTGCCCGTCATAAGTCAGCTGGCCAATAAACAGGAACCAGACACTGCTTGCTGAAAGTAAATAACCTCGCATTAAAATAAACCGGGCTCAGGGAAGGGATAGTAGGAACTGCAGATGCTGGAGAATCTGAGATAACAAGGTGTAGAGCTGGATGAACACAGCAGGCCAAGCAGCATCAGAGGAGCAGGAAGGCTGATGTTTTGGGCCTAGACCATTCTTCAGAAAATGGGCAGGGCAGCAAATTGCTGACACTGTGGAGCATGTGTGCTATTCCCTGTGAATACAGAGACCCTGTGCGTTGTTGCATCATGGACAAAACCTGCACTGCACATGTGCACTGAGCATTGACACAGGAATCAGATGAGGGTCGGAAAGGAGGTGTGTGCAATCTGTTCTCCCACTTTTTCCACCACTACCACCATTCATTCAAAACCCCCTTGCTGCTTATGGCCACGCCGATTAATGTATTTGCATATAGTCATGACGAATAGTGTGCATGCTTCAGTGTGAGCATACGCAGCCGTTTGGCTGTTTTCTGTGTATGTGACCAACACTAGAACGAGGTAGAGCACCACGTCTGTGTATAAACCCACACAAGCCCTTGCTAAAGGGCTTTACTCTGCAACAGGGAGACGTTGGAGCAATGTAAAGTACAACTCTGCCAGAAAGTGAAAGGCAATAAATATCCAGTAGGGTAAAAGCAAAATATTGTGGATGCTGGAAATCTGAAACAACCAAACCACTGGAGAAACTCGGCAGGTCTGACCGTGTCTGTGAACAGAAGAGTCATACAGGACTCTGTGGAGACAGAAACAGAGTTATCAGACCTGCTGAGTTTCTCCAGCGTTCTGTGTTCATATCATACATCCAGTACCTCAGTTTAAAGTGGTATGAGACCATCATTGGAGGCAAACAGGGACGTGTCTGAGTCAGAATACATGTTTAATGGGGATGGGACAGCAATCAGTGCAATACAGGACAAATGTGAGTGTGTATACATCTTAAACACTATATTAGAACCAACGTCAAACGGATTCAAAGATAACAAGGTGTAGAGCTGGATGAACACAGCAGGCCAAGCAGCATCGGAGGAGCAGGAAAGCTGACATTTCGGGTCCTCTGATGCTGCTTGGCCTGCTGTGTTCATCCAGCTGTACACCTTGTTATCTCGGATTCTCCAGCATCGGCAGTTCCTACTATCTCTGTAACAATCAAACTGAGTCATTCGCTTTTGACTTGGAGCACAAAACTCCAACAAAGATTCACACCCTGCAGTTAGATAAAGGCAAGCAGTTGGCTCTCGGTGCCATCTTGAATGTGTTGGGAACACCCTGTTAGTAGTTAAACCTGAGGCAGGAGTTAATTTAAAAGATGTAAATATCAGTCTCCAAGTTCAACTTAAATTATCCAAATTTAAAATAGTTTCCCAGAATGAACTCTTGTTCACATTTTGCAGTCCCTTATTTTATAATAGGACTTTTTTTTTTACACAAGTAGCAGGGTAATGTAAGATATACTTTATATGTGTCATTATTTAGTGAAACACTCATTATATCCCAGCACTTTTCTTTCAAATTTTCTCATTTTTTTAATCATTAATTTTTAAGTTGCCACTTTCTTTTGTGTTAACTTTTCTTCTTTCACTTTTTACTTCAAGTGACAAACTCCTGCTAATCCTTCAGTTCCTATCCCACTGGAAGGGTGTTCCTGGGACACTTCCTGACCGGGGGAAGTTGGAAATAGGAGTATATACAGGAGGATTTGCCCTTCGAGTCCTGTTTTGCCATCAGGCCACTGGATGATTGACCCCTCGATCCAGTTGACCTGTCTTTGTTCCATATCCCTGGATGCCCTTGGCTTAAGTCAAACTGGCATGGACTGCATTGGGCTGAATGACCAGCTTACACTGTATGTTCCAATGACGTTTACAGAATAACAATGTATCAGCCTCAGTTTTGGGGGGGGAGAAAAACTTGATTTCCCCACCCCCCAGCATTTCCACCCTCTGTAAAGAGTGAATTCTCCCTAGGCATTGAGGATACTGTCAGTATCCTGATTGTCACACAATACAGTGTGAGCAGGTGTGTAAGGGAGAGGATAGAGAATCACTCAGGGTGGTGGCAACATTGCATCCTTTCAGAAGGTAGTGGGTTTAAATCTCAGCCCAGAAACACTGGCATTCTGTCCAGTATGTATCTCTCAAGCGGTGTTATTAATCACATTTTCTATTTGCTGTGTGTATCATGGTAGCCATGTTTCGTACATTAAAATGTTCACTATATTTCATAAATATTTTAATGCCTGCAAAGCACTTTCGTGCTTCCTGAAGTTGTGAAAGGGGCTACATAAATGCATTTAAATTGTTGGAAAAGCTCTGCAGGAGTGGCAGCATCTGTGGAGAGAAATCAGTTAATGTTACGGATCGAGTGACCCTTTCTCAGAAGTCCTGCTGAGCTTTTCCAGCATTTTGTTTTTCTTTCAGATTTACAGCATCTGCAGTTCTTTCCATTTTTATTTAAATTTTTTTAGAAATATACTATTTTTAGTACTCACCCCTCAGCTAGTATTGAGAGCTTCTTTACCTTTAGCTTCACATGGAAGTGGGAGGAATCTATAGGGAGGATTCCCACAATTGCAAAGCAGGGGAGATTAGAACAATTAGAACAATTTATGGAAATAATCTTTATTCTCTGTGGATCTCGGAGTATTAGAAACCCTCAGATAATGTGTCTCAAAAGACAGTTTCTCCCAGTGGGGGACAAAACATCTTTTCAAAAAAAACTTGAAAGATCTGCAGATGCTGGAAATCAAAAACAAAAACAGAATTTGCTGGAAAATCTCAGTTGGAGAGAAATCAGAGTTAATGTTTCGGGTCCAATTCCGAAGAAGGGTCACTGAACCCGAAATGTTAACTCTGATTTCTCTCCACAGATGCTGGCAGTCCTGCTGAGCTTTTCCAGCAATTTCTGTTTTTCTTTGGTAAAAATATCTATCTTAGAGCTTTTCAGATAAAACTTTACTGTAAATATTGGATATTCTATTGCTAGATATCCTTAAATATTCTTAAATGCTGTTAAATATTCTTGACTAGTCATAAATAACACCAACATAGATTCTTAGAGATTTGAATTATATTTTTTACTTAAAGTATATAGCTTAATTTCAAAATAACTTGTCAAGTTAATATATTCTCATTTAAGTTGCTGTATTACAACTGAAATGAACCCTATTCTGAAGTGGGGAACTGTATCTTCTCAAGAGAAATCCCACACTCTTAAAATATCTAGGATGCTTATAGCATAGATAAGGCTTATAAAATTTAGCAGGCTATTTGGAGGAAGGTAACATTCTTGGGTCACTTCTTGCCCTGTAAGATGATACTGAAACCTGAAGACTCATGTGCAAGTGTTTGTGAGATGGACTGACTGGATTGAACAGAATGGACAGAAGTTATCAGGGAAATACTCCTGATCTAAGTTAGTTCCAAATGAGTACTAAAAGCTATAAATCCCTTTAAAGAACCAAGCTTTAAACCAACAAGTGATCTGCCCTTTCATCTTTCACAGATTTGATGGGAATCGCAAGCAGCTGGTCATCAGTGACTTGGGAAACTTGTTCCCCAAAAATGAAATGAGTCTGTGGTGGCAGAAGGTAAACTCCATTCATCCTTTGCTGAAGGTGGTGGCCAGATTTATAATTTGGCAACAATCTGCATTTTTATATCGCTATTTTAAGATAGAACATTCAAGCCTGGAGTGTAATCGGACAATAAAATGTGAAACCAAGCCACAACCAAGTTGTGATCCAAAACTCCGTTAAAGTAGATTTTAAAGGACTTCTTTGAGGTGGGTAAGTGCGACCACTGAACTGGTGCAGCTGCCAATGTTGGAGCAAAGATGTGGGGTGGTGAATAAGAGTCGCTGCTGTTTGTTCATGTTGTAGCGGTGAATCTGGGGATACTTTTGTGAAATTGGTCTTTGGGAGAAAGGCCCTGTTCAGACAACAATCCCTGTAAATGGAGACTGTTGTAGCACCTTGTACAGAGAAAAGAATGGGCTCCCACTGGGTTCACTTGTCAGGAATGCAAAGTTTGCCTTGGTTTAGTTGGGAAGGATTGAACAGAAACACAGGAATTTGAATAAAAAGACCCTAGCAGTGCTGGTTGAGGAGGGAAGAAGGTGCTCTAGCACTGGCTGTTTACGGGGTGGGGGTTAGGGGTGCCACCTCTGCTGGCTGAGAGTGAGCTGGATGGGATGCTAATGCTGCCAGGGGGCAGCAGTTGGCATGCAAGACAGCATCAGGCTGTGCACTGCATTTGATTGGTGAAGATAATCTGAGGTCTTGTGCAAAGATTCTATCAGTTGAATTAAAGAAAGTAGAATGGAGGATGGGACTGAAATCAGATCTCAGTCAAAACCTCAGGAAAAAGTAGGTGATTGGCTGTGGCTAATAGAACCAGTGCAGGCGCGATGGGCTGAATGGCCTCCTTCTGCACCTTAACATTTCCATGATATATGTCAATGAGATTACCCCTCTTCCTTCTAATGCGGATTTCTCTGTCCAGTCTCCAAGTGTTCACCTTCTGTATGTCTTCCCCAGAAACTGCAAGATGTACATCAGAGCCACAGAAATGTTCGGCTTGACCCCCCATGCACCAACACCACTGCCTGCAGCAACTACCTAAATGACCCGGAGGTGCGGAAGGCTCTGCATATTCCTGCCTTTGTGCAGAAATGGGAGATGTGCAGGTAACATCCAGCCTCTGAATTAGAATGCAAATCTATGTGATCAATATGAGACTGAGATTGTCAATTTCTTTTTTTTAAATCCTGTCCGTGCTTTATTTTGACATAGTCATAGAGGTATACAGCATGGAAAGAGACCCTTTGGTCCAACTCGTCCATGTCAACCAGATATCCTATATAAATCTAGTCCCATTTGCCAGCACATGGCCCGTATCCCTCTAAACCCTTCCTATTCATATACCCATCCAGATGCCTTTTAAATGTCGTAATCATACCAGCCCCCACCACTTTCTCTGGCAGCTCGTTCCATAAATGCATCACCCTCTGCATGAAAAAGATATCCCTTGGGTTCTTTTTAAATCTTTCCCCCTAACCTTAAAACTATGCCCTCTAGTTTTGGACTATCCCACCCCAGGGAAAAGACCTTGTCTATTTAGCCTATCTATGCCCCTCATGATTTGATAAACCTGTATAAGGTCACCTATCAGCCTCCGATGCTCCAGGAAAAATAGCCCCAGCCTATTCAGCCTCTCCCTGTGCTCAAATCCTCCAACCCTGGCAACGTCTTTGTAAATCTTTTCTGAACCCTTTCTAGTTTCACGAAGGAGACCAGAATTGCACACTGCTTCGGCCACTTTTGGAGAATTGTGTCCTGTACTGCCGCAGCATGACCTCCCAACTCCTATGCTCAATGCACTGACAATAAAGGCAAGCATACCAAACACCACCTTCACTATCCTATCTACATGCGACTCCACTTTCAAAGACTTATGAACCTGCACTCCAAGGTCTCTTTGTTCAGAAAAAACTCCACAGAACCTTACCACGAAGTGTATAAGTCCTGCGCCGATTTGCCTTTCCAAAATGCAGCACCTCACGTTTATCGAAATTAAACTCCATCTGCAACCCCTTGGCCCATCTGATCAAGATCCCATTGTACTGAGATAACCTTCTTCACTGTCCACTACACCACATGAGATGTGTGTCCTTGCTTTGGGGTGGGTTCCAATCAGATGTGTCCCTTTTTGGTGGCGATCAATTTGTTTCAAGCTACCTAAAAGTGAGCAATGTGCCACAAGTATTAGACTATTTGCATCTGGTGTTTGATGTGATCTACAAGCAAATAATTAGAAAATGGTATCATTTATCACAAGCTGCTTCATCAATGCCCTTCTCTCCATTATATGGTCAGAAGTGGGGATGTTCGCTGATGATTGCACAATGTTCAGCACCATTTGCAACTCCTCACATACTGAAGCAGTCCTTGTTCACATGCAACAAGGTCTGTTGAATATTCAGGCTTGGGCTGACGAGTGGCAAGTAACATTCGCGCCACACAAATGTTAAGCAATGACCATCACCAATAAGAGACAATCTAACCACTGCCCCTTGACATTCAGTGGTGTTACCATCACTATATCCCCCATTATCAACATCCTGGTGGTTACCATTGACCAGAAACTCAACGGGACTCACCATATAAACACTGCCTACAAGGCATGTCAGAGTCTAGGAATACTGCAGCAAGTAACTCCCTAAAGCCTGTCTACCATCTACAAGGCACAAGTAGGGACAGTGATTGAATATTCCCCGCTTGCCTGGATGAACGCAGCTCCAACAACATTCAAGAAGCTTGACACCACCATACAAGTCAAAGCAGCTCACTTGATTGGCACCGCATCCACTCCCTCCACCACCGACGCTCAGTAGCAGCAGTGTGTACTACCTACAAGATACACCGCAGAAATTCACCGAAGATCCTCAGACAGCACCTACCAAACCCACAACCATTTCCGTTTAGAAGGACAGGACAGCAGATGCATGGGAACACCACCCCCTGCAAATTCACCTCCGAGCCACTCACCATCCTGACTTGGAAATATATTGCTGTTACTTCACAGTCCCTGGGTCAAAATCCTGGAATTCCGCCCCTAAGGGTATTTTGGTTCAAGCTACAACATATGGACTGCAGTACTTCAAGAAGGCAGCTCACCACCACCGTGGGATGGATAATACTGACCAGTGAGCAACGCCCATATCTCCCAAGAGAATTTTTTTTAAAAATACAAATATTGGGAGGTTATGCTTCAGTTATACAGGGTATCGGTGAGACCACATGTGGAGTACTGTGCACAATACTTATTTAAGAAAGGATGTAAATGTGTTGGGTGCACTTAGAGAAAGAAACTAGCCTAATACCTAGAATGGCCAGGTTGTCTGATGGGGAAGGGTTAGTCAGCCATGTTTGTATTCCTGGAGTTTAGAAGAGTAAGAGAGAACTTGACTGAAACATGTAAAGCCCTGAAGGGTCTTGACAGGGTAGATGTGGTGAGTCACTGTGTAAAAATCAGGATTTGCTCATTTAAAACCGACATTAGGTTAATTTTCTTTTCTCAAGAGTTCAGAGTCTTTGCAACTGTCTTCCTGAATGATAGTGGAAGCTTGAATCTTTGTTAAACTGAGGTAGATAGCTTCTTGGTAAGCTAGGGGCTGAAAGGTTATTGAGGATAGGTGGGAATGTGAAATCAAATTTACAATCAGATAAGCTGTGATCTTATTGAATGGCAGAACAGGCCTGAGGGGCTGAATGGCCTATTCCTGCTCCTTTGTTAGTATGTTGAATAATGTGCTTACAATGTGTCACTGATTTGTAACTGAGGTATAAATGGTGTTCACACTGTGGCTGGGATATGGCCATGTACGTAGATGGTATCCTCAGAGCCACATAATATAGGACATTATATGGCATCTTGTCTCTCCAGTCTTGAAGGTCCTGCCTCTTCACACTTCATTGTGAATCGACTTCAATTTTTTATTCTGTTGGACTTGACCTTTGTCGCTACACAATAGCTCATGTGTTTGGTAATGCAGGCAGATCTCTTTCTTGCAAGTCTGGAGTATTTGGCTTTGTGTGGTTACAGGTGCCAGTTTCAGCAAAAGCAAGCATCAGTCCCAGCTTTACTGTACAGCCCCACACGGGGTTACTGCTGAGCCCAGGGCAGTTAATGGGGGCATACACTGAGTCTATAATATCCATCATTCACTGGAACAGAATAGTTACCATGACATTTATCCAGATGTACAGCTGCTGTCGGGGTCCAGCTACCTTTCACCTTGGTGTTAGCATGTCTGAGGGATTTTATCAAATGCTTCTAAAACCATGAGATGTGCAGCATGATCCTTCATAAATAATTCTAGCATTTGCTGAGAACTTGCTCTACCTTTCTCAGGCTGTGAAAGGGCAGCCCCCCTCCTTGTCTTGATGCTATCAATGTTCTGTCATCAAGCTCATCCAATAGTTATTTCAAATGAACTGGCCTTCTTCCAACAATCGCACCCCTGCAACCCAGCAACATGACTCGTCCCTCCTAATGACTGCAAACGATTATTACTGCTATTCAGACTGAATTACAGTTTTCTGGAGCAGGATGTATAATGCTAATGGTTTGGCACTCGGAAACAAAGGAGCAGACCATTTAGCCCCTCCACCCTGTCATGCTGTTCAATGAGCTCCTGGTTGGTTTAGGACCTAACTCCGCCTATCCGCCTGTGCTCCTTGATCACAAAGATCCATCAATCTCCAATTTAAAATGAATATTTCATCAAATCCCTACAATGTGGAAACAGGCCCTTCGGCCCAACAAGTCCACACCAATCCTAAGAGCATTCCGCCCAGACCCATCTCCGCCACCCCCACCATAACCCACCTAATTCTCACGTCCCTGACTATGGGCAATTTAACATGGCCACTCCACCTACATCTTTGGACTGTGGGAGGAAACCGGAACACACGGAGGAAACTCATGCAGATCCAGCATTAATGGGGATTGTACAAGTATTTCTTGACTTCATACTTAAAACATTTGGCTCAAATCCTTAGACCATGGCCTAGACTCCCCAAAGAGCAGAGAATTTTCTCCATCTCTCCCTTTCTCTTATGTTCCTGTTCTCTGAATAACCTCAACCAAATTAACCTCTTAAACTGCGAACTCTAAGGGATACATTCCTAATTTGTGTAATCTCTCCTCAAAATAAAATATATCCTTGGCATTCAGGTATCATTCTGAAAGAACTAGGTTGTGCTCGCCTAATCTATCCTTCCTAACATGTGGTGCTCTCGGCACTGGACATGTGGCCTAACCAGGATTTTGTATGGCTGTAGTGTGATCTCTCTGCTGTTCTATTCTAGTCATCCAGAACCCGATACTGTCAGTTTTCAGCTGAGTGGATTAAGTTCAAATTATCTGTATTCTTTCTAAATTATGTGAATTTAAAAAATTTTCAACAAGTGTTTGACTGTTTCCCTTGGATTGCCTGCTTTATTGTGGGATTGAGATGGGGTGGGAGGAAGGCTTTTCCTGGTGGGGTGGGTTCTGCAGTCACAGGAAAGTCCTGGGGAACCTGGGGAAGGCTGTGACATTTGCAAGTATTGCCTCCTTTAGAACATGTGGATGACGGCTGGGTTACTTTTTAACATTTACTTTGATTTTCTTTTTTAAAACACCTGTTTAGCGCGGTAGTGAACCTGTTATATCGACGGCTGTACAGTGATATGAAGGATCAGTACCTGAAACTGCTGTCTGCTGGGGTAATTAAACATTCTTTCCATTCCACTGTTTAATTTTAAATTAGTGGCTGATTTTGAGGGATTGTGCATGTTCTAATCATATAGAACTGGTTTGGGACTGTGGGAATGTAAAACTTCATTGCATTGTTGCAACAGCATGGGGACTAGGAGCCGCAGTTGACCATTTGACCCCTTGAGTCTGCTCTACCGTTCCACTAGATCATGGCTGATTTCCCATGTCATTTTCCTGCACTATTCCCATATCCCCTGATCACTTTTTTAATATTTAGAAATCTATTGATTTCTCCCTTGAATATATCCAATGCCTGACCGTCCACAGCCTCTGGGGTGGAGAATCTCAGAGATTCACCACCCTCTGTGTTGTCGAGGAGAATACTGAGATACAGTCTATTAGACTAGACGGGATTGAGGTTCATAAGGAGGAGGTGTTAGCAATTCTGGAACGTGTGAAAATAGATAAGTTCCCTGGGCCGGATGGGATTTACCCTAGGATTCTCTGGGAAGCTAGAGAGGAGATTGCAGAGCCTTTGGCTTTGATCTTTGTCGTCACTGTCTACAGGAATAGTGCGAGAAGACTGGAGACTAGCAAATATTGTCCCCTTGTTCAAGAAGGGGAGTAGAGACAACCCTGGTAATTATAGACCAGTGAGCCTTACTTCGGTTGTGGGTAAAGTGTTGGAAAGGGTTATAAGAGATAGGATTTATAATCATCTAGAAAGGAATAATTTGATTAGGGATAGTCAACACGGTTTTGTGAAGGGTAGGTCGTGTCTCACGAACCTTATTGAGTTCTTTTGAGAAGGTGACCAAACAGGTGGATGAGGGTAAAGCGGTTGGTGTGGTGTATATGGATTTCAGTAAAGCGTTTGATAAGGTTCCCCATGGTAGGCTATTGCAGAAAATACAGAGGCATGGGATTGAGGGTGATTTAGCGGTTTGGATCAGAAATTGGCTAGCTGTAAGAAGACAGAGGGTGGTGGTTGATGGGAAATGTTCATTCTGGAGTTCAGTTACTAGTGGTGTACCTCAAGGATCTGTTTTGGGGCCACTGCTGTTTGACATTTTTATAATGAGGGTGTAAAAGGATGGGTTAGTAAATTTGTGGATGACACCAAAGTCAGTGGAGTTGTGGATAGTGTGGAAGGATGTTGCAGGTTACAGAGGGAATTAGATAAGCTGCAGAGCCGGGCTGAGAGGTGGCAAATGGAGTTTAATGCGGAAAAATGTGAGGTGATTCACTTTGGAAGGAGTAACAGGAATACAGAGTACTG